ATACACACATACACACATACACACATACACACATACACACTTTCACACATACACACATACACACATACACACATACACACATACACACATACACACATACACACATACACACATACACACATACACACATACACACATACACACATACACTACACTACATTACATTACATTACATTACGTTACATTACGTTACATACATACACACATACACACATACACACATACACACATACACTACATTACATTACATTACATTACATTACATTACATTGCATTGCATTGCATTGCATTACATTACATTACATTACATTACATTGCATACATAGATCTCGCAGTTTGATTCTCAACCGTAGCAACCAACCAAATCCCACGAGCCTCCCTGTGGGTCATTTCTTTTGCGTGTTAGGTCCAGCGCCTCGCGGCCCAGCTCCGAGTCAGAAGTACCCCGCCCCCGTTTTTTTTTCTCCCCCCGGGGGCGCGGTTCCATGTGGATATGGGTCAAAATTAAGCCATCAGGATATGGATGGCAGGTTTTAGTCCATGCTTCCACTTACCAGGGTAACCCATTTTGGGTGTATCCTATTTTTGAGCCTCAGCCATGTCCGGCAGGTGCTGAAACAGATCGCGCGCTTGGAGGTGAAGTTCTGGGCCAAGGCGCCGACTCGACTCGGGAGACTCGGCGAGTTTCAAAGAGAGCCACGGACGGACGCCCAAGGAATGGATGTGGTAGTGTGTTTTCAGGGTACCAATCAGAAGATAAAATGGATCAAATCTCACACTCCCGGTTGGGTTTCATGTTGGTTTCCTTGGAAGCTGGTCGCAAAATGCCTGGCAGCCATATCCTCCGAGAACTCGTGCCTCGAGTGGGGGTCTGGGGTGGTTTTGAGGGTCTGCGGTTCCAATTGCACGGAGCCGTTTCTCAAAAAGTTTGTTCCTCTTTGTAGATGGTTTTAAAGCAAACCAAAAGGAAAAGCATACCCCTTTTGGGGTCAATGCTAGGGAATGGAGTTGTGTTCCATCTCTTGTAGCCGAGCCGGGGATGTGTCACCAGGACCGGCTTCCTCGTCCGCGGGCTTTTTAGCCGGGACACACATTTCCGAACTTGGTGTTTGCCCGTGAAAAAAACCGTAGGTCCCTGTCGCCGTTGAAATTGTGTACTGTATCTCCCACTGTGAGGGGTACACACCCAACTTGGTGTGTCCCTTTGGTCGTTTCTTGGACGCATTCCACTGGCCGCTCCCTTCAGGCGAGTGTCGCCATGCTCAAGGAGCTGGACGCGGAGTCCAGGCTGGAGCGCATCGACGGGGCCTCAGCGAGCGGCGTGGCTTGCTTCGGATGCAACGCCGGGGCCTTTTGGAGTTAGTGTGGGGGAGTTGGAAAGGATCTGGCTGTTTTTGTCATGAATGGAACCAAGGACTAAACTTCGTAAACTTGTGGTCCCCTGGTGGTCTAATTTTGACCCGTACCCATCTCGCCTTTCAATGGCAACAGACGCCGCGTCCGAGACGCTGCTCCTTGCGTCGCGACCGGCAAAGTCTGAGTGGACCTCGAGACCATCGTTTTGTGGCCTTTGGTTTCCTTCGGGCGAGTCCTTTTGCACGTTCGGGCTCTTCCATTGTTTGCATTCACCCGGTGCTTTCAGTGCTCGTTGTTTCCTTTTCGGCTTCATGTGTTGAAAAAGTCATTATCGCTGCCTCAAGCTGTCCTTTCATATCAATAGCGGGTGAATAAGCCAGGGGTTTATTAACAGAGAGAAACCTAGTGTCTCCAAAGGATCCTTCTAATATGGTCGGCGCACCTGCCTCATGAAGGGTCAACAATCCTTTTCCACCAGGTTTAAAAGGTGCGAACAGGGAACCAACCAAAGGATCCATTTGAAAGGAACATGGGCCAAGCCAGCTTTTCCCAAGATGATTGAGGCTGTGAGTGACCATAGGTGTCCTTTGGCTGATTGGTTTGAAAATAGAGGGCCCTGGTTTACCTGGTGCTTCAATCAACTACCAGGGAAACCCATCTATTTTCAACCAAAAAGGACACCTATGTGAGTGACTTAGACCAGCCATTATATTCACCAGGCAGAGACGGCTTCTCTGCGCGGTGATGTCAGGTGGACTGGCTGCAGACCTTCGGGGACGAGGGGGAGTCGGAGTCCGCCTCCTCCGGTCCTGCGGTGCTGTACCAGGCCTTGGACTGGCGTTTTTTTCCCTCTTTTTCTTCTCCTTTTCTTTTCTTATTTTTTTTTGTCTCTCCTTTTTTTCTTCTTCTTCTTTTCTTTCTCTCTTCTTTTTTTGTTTTCTTCTTTTTTGGGTGCTGAAGGGAAAGTAAGGGGACCTCCGGTGCTTTATTTTTGGGGGTCCCACCGTTGGGAATCCAAGTCTCCCAGAGGATTTTTGGTTGAGCTCGTGCACTGCAAGATGGTTTCCTTAGCCACGTGTCCTTGAAATGGGATTTCCTTTTGGACATTTTTGTTTGGTTTTTGGCTTCTTGGCTTCTTGGCTTTTCGGCTTCTTAGCTTCACGAGAAACAGAATTCCGGAGGGCTGAGTTGAAACTTTTAAAATTCACCTCCCCATCCCAAGTGGCTGGCAATCTGTTTGTTGTGTTTGGCAAAACAGTGCCCAAGTACTCTCCCAAACGTTGATGTGATAAACCTGGCACAAGCTAACGAGAACGGAGAACAAGGGTCCCGGACCCTTGGTGTTCCTAGGAAGGCTGTCCTTTTCTGCCCGGGATGAGTCAGTTGCCCATGTCTCGGGCAGGTCTTGAGCGATGTCACCCTGCAGAAGGCACGTATCGTGGTTTTGGTTTCGGCGCTTTCCGCGGGAGGAGATGTGTGTCTTTGTTCAGCTCCCCCCCCCCCCCACAAACGGTCGCGGAACAGGACGTTTTGTACTCTTTCTCGCTCTCTCTCTCTCTGTGTTGATTTGTGAGGCTACCCTTGTCAGGTGGGGGATGCCGAAAGTTTGTTTTCTTCTTTTTGTTTTTCTTCTTTTTGTTCTCCGGTTCCTTGCAGATCCCTTTAGATCAGCTGATTCAGTGGGATTTGCGGGGGCGCTTTGTTTGATAGGCATCCCGGCATCCCCTGCAAGCCAAAAAGGGGTCCATTTCCCAAAAGGGGATTCCTCTACTGATGGTTTTCTGTGTTCCATGTCATTCAATCTGTAGGGGAGGATTTCTGGCAAACGCACAAGAACGCGGAACAGGCGCCAACGCTGTTGGGCATGGTGGACCGGTGAAATACCTCGTCCCCGACCTTCTTGGGGTTATGAGAACCATCCGCTGGTTTTTGCTTGGACGGATCGCAAATGAGGCTTGGAGTTGGTAATCTATCTTTGGCCACAATTTAGAACTATAAGATAGATATCCATTCTAATGTCGTTTTGTTTCCCCCATCTTCCCGCGCATTCCTAGGCTAGCGATCCCTAGGGATCGATCGCAGACCGATGCTTAAAGCTGGTTCGATCGATTGCAGGACTTCGAGGCACCACAGCGGGAGGCGCTGGGAAGCGCGGTGCGGGAGAACCTGCCAAAGTTCCCGGTGGAGATGCAGGCGGAGTCGGGCTGAGTCGGAGTCGGGGGCATCCACAGGTGTCCAATTCTCTGATTTGGTTTAAAACTTGGTTGGGCGATTCCTGGTCTACCTGGTGGTTCGATCAACTAGCAGGGCCATCTACTGCTCAAAAGGACACCTATGGGCGCATCGGAGAAAGAAGTCCAAAAGGCGGGGGTGGCCATGTTTTGCTTGTTTCTCCTTTGGTGGCGCAGAAGCGACAAAAAATGGGGGTGGTTTTTAGGGTTTGAAGGTCTTTGTCTTAAGGGCCTTGAAAGTTGCGGCTTTTGACACCGGTCCTTCGAGAAGGGGCAGTTCCCAAGCTTGGCCTTACGTTTCTCTTGGGTTTAAAAGGTTCCGGACTCTCTCGGGGGAGCCCCAAAATGGGTTTTCCTTTTGACTTCCCTTGAAACCAAGGTGAAACCCCCTCACAAAGCACTCGCCCATCCTTTCTGGCCGCTCATTTCAGGTCTTTCTCTGCGTGCCAAAACGTCCGCAGAGGGCGAATAAAAGCGAGCTTCTGGCGTTTGCCTTGAGCCTTAAGCCGCGTCGCTCGCGTGGGAAACAAGTCGAAAACGGGCCCGGCGAGGCGGTCCTGGAAAGAGTGGGCAGCGTGACCGAACGGCCTGGCGCCGTCTCGGACTGGAGAAGGAGGCCGACGAAGACTCGCCTCAGATCTGCAAAACAAAAATCTGGACCTCCACTGCCGGTTTAAGGCAGAGCCTTTTCTGGACCCATGGCTAAACGTGTTTCAGCCGCGCAAAACCCCCCAAGGGCAGCTCGGGGGAAGGCGAACACCGAGTGGGGCGTGACGTGTTGGGGCAGGCGAAACCTCGGCCGCGTGCCGAAAACCGGGGCTGTGATATAAGAGGCTCAACATGTGGTTGCATACTTTCTCTCCGAGGATGAGTTTGGGTCAAAAAAAAATCGGGCTTCTCACAAGCCCAATGGGGCCCAAGGAAACAGCGCTCACAAGATTCTGATGAGGGAATGGCGCTTCACCAACATCGCATGTTGGGGAGAGAATCCCTCCAGGCAAGCGATGCCGGACGCTCCCACGTTGGGTCCAGGTGCGAAGCGCGGGCCCCAGTTGAGAAACCAAGATGATGTGTCACACATTTGCCACGGTGGCTTAAGCCGGCCCAGTCCATTTGGACGTGGCTCCAGATTTAGGAGACGGGGGAGCGCAGGGGTTTAGTCTTTTCATCTACCAGGTTTCCATCATGGGCCCCGGATTTTTGAGAAAAGGGATCTCCGTGCCGTGCCGCGCAGGTCTTAGCCACTCTTGCTCTCTTTGCCTCCCACCTTGGCTGACTACGAGTTGGATAAACCAGCGTGACCCGCAAGGCGGATCACTGGATGGGGTTGGCTTCCTTCGGAGCTGCAGGTTGCTCTTCGGCGTTGAGGAGGAGATGCAGGTGCCAAAGACGAGGCGCCGAGTTGTTTGGAGTGTTTGCTTCACAGCAAGCGCTTCTGAGTCTTGGGGTCCTTGTGTTGACATCAGGCTGCTGCTCTCTTTGCAAACATGTGCCTTGCACCCCTCTGCTGGCTGCTTGCTTGCGGCTTTTGGGGATTTTTTCCGACCAGCTTGCACAGTGGAACCGCAGCCAACAGGCTGGCTTTCGATGAAGCGGCCTACTCAAAAAAACAGACAACAGTTTCTTGGTCTGGTTTCTACTAATCCACCAAGAGTCACTCCTATGCGAGTTGATAAAGTCAATCAGCCACGCGTGAAACAGAACCATCCAACATCTCCAGAGAGCGGCCTGGGAGTGTCCATCGAGCCTTCGGTGTGTACAGGTCAAAATTCAACCACCAGGGGACCGCAGATTTTAGTCCATGTTTCCACTTACTAGGGTTCCATTTGGGGTACCTATTTTTGACCCAGAGTGATATGAGAATTTTAGGAGGGCCCACTCTGAAAGAAGCACATTGGTAGAGAACTGCCAAGCCAGCTCTATTTTCTGTACTCAGGTCTAAGAGGGGCTGTAGTCATATGGTCGCCTTTTGTAGGTGGTTCGGGGATTTGAACCCCCAATTCGTATGGAGGAAAAACGGGGCAAACTCCAAAGCACTAATTGCAATGTCAAGAATGAGAGGGACGCTGAAATCAGGACCACAAAGACAATGATCTTTGAGCAACATGTGAGCAACTTGCAAATTAGTATGGAGAACATGCAGGCGCAAAACCCAGGGAGCAAGCTTGTGTCCAATGTCCTTTAGGCAACAACATTTTGTCTGCGGCTCGAGAAGAACCCCACGTAAACGCCAGTTGGTTTGATTTGAGCGCTTTTCAAGTAAGTTCTTCCTTGACCACCTTGATCTTGACAGTCTCGTTAGGATTCCTTGAGCCCTGCCGACATGGAGCGATTTTGAGGTTGGTGCTAAAGTCCACTGGACTGAGGATGAATTACATGCGGAGTCCTGGTTGATGTTTCCTTCAAAAGTGAGGGTACCATGTCCTTAAATGGGACACCTGTGACACCCTATGAATCAATCAGAGGCTGAACAATTTTGGGTTCCCAGGACTCAAAAGTTTTGGCCTTCAGATGGCTTTCCCGTGCCTTGGCCAGTACCTCGACTCCGGCGCAGGAGGCACGGGTTGAAACCGGCGGGCAACAGCCAAAGCCAACGGAGGGTTGTTTCCTCAGTTGTTCAGTGGCTCCCTTTTTCCCCTCTTTTTGTTTTAGTGGCGGCCCCACTAAACTGGTCTTTTCAAGAAAAGGGTTCCCTTTTTTCCAGGGTCACTGAACAACTGAGTTTCAGACAAATGGTGCTTGACACATGCCTTACCAAATTTTGAACGTGTTGCAAGGGGCCAGGGCCTTCGTGGGTGGTTGAAACTTCAGCTGCACCCTTTTCTCCGCGGTATGCTCCACCCCTTGGTTGAGTTTGGCCAAGGGATGAGAAGCTAACAACCCACCAGTCAGTTATAAGGCAGTTGACGCGGACAACATTGAACCTTCCATTCGCTTACGCAGATGTTCCCCTGTTTGTTTTGAGGGAATCTATCACTACCGGAAGTTGTTTTTCCCAGGTGACTTCAGCAAATGGAATGACCATTTTCATGGCGATGTTTTTTTTGTTTTTTTTTTAATCGCAGGCTGTGTAAAACCAACTGCAGTGAACTTACGACTCCACGATTGCGGCAATCCTTTCCTCACTCTCGAGAAACCAGGGAGGACTTTTCAGTAAACAATAACAGGGGTACGGTAGTACGGTCTCACCGAAGCACGCCATTTTCTTCTCGCCGAAAAAGGGGCATGCATTCCTTGCCTCAGACGATCAGCCATCATGCAAGCTCTCCCAAAAGGTCTCGCTACATGGAAGCCTCTTCCATTTCGGGGGAGCTTTATATGGAATCGCTCAGATAGATCCACCGAAAATCCGTCGGCGGCATGCTGGTGCGAGAAGTTGGATTCGAGGGCCATAAGGCGGAGGTCTTCCTCCGCCTTTCCTTTGGCGGGGTTTTTCGCAGTGGCCGAGGTGCTTTTTCTTGGAAGAGGAAGGCAAGAAAGAAAAAAGCCTGAATGAGAAACGACAGAGCCCGAGCAAGGCAAAGAACCGAAGAAACCAGCAAACCCAGATGAAAAACGACAGAACCGAAACCAACAAAACACCAGGCAACGAAAGCAAACAAGCAAAGAACCGAGAAGGATCCCGGGCACGATTTTTTTGCAGTGGCCAGGAGGCGGTGATAACCATTGAGGACGAGGCGGGGACTTGGGTCTTGGAGTCTATTGGACTTCCCGGTTGGGCCGTTGGTTTGGGGAAGGCTAGGGGGAAGGACCGCCAGGGACCCAACCTGCGCTAACAACTTTCCCAGAACCGGACGGGGTCGCCTTTCTTGCTTCTTCTCCTTTTTCCCAGCAGCAACTTTGCAACCGGGGGGGGGTGATGTTAATTTATCGTGCCAAGACTGAGATGAGCGAAGCCAATGCGGAGATCGTCCAGCGACTGCTGCAAAGAACCCAGCAGGAGGAGGACGGGGAGGGCTCGAGCCAGCGATGCCATTTGTGCTTGAGTTGCAAGGGGCTCATCGTCTGGGTGGGCTGGCCAGGATGTTTGGTCGGACAATTCTCCAACGTGGTAGTTTCGCGCGTGCCCTAAGGGTCCAACAAAAGGAAGCACTCACCCCCGCGATTCAACTCACACTTTCGTCCAGCTTTCAATGAGCATCAGTAGTTAGTTTTTAGCGTCACATTCCAAACCAACTAGACTTTGACAGTGATACTGGCACCGAAGGGGCTTTACTCGGGGCACTGGATGCTTGGCCGCTTCGAAGTGGGGGTGGGGGTGACCTTGAGCCTCCAGCTTGGGCACTTCTGACTGGTCGATGGGGTTGAATCTGACAATTTGCCAGGATCCAAATGCTTGCACCTAGCTAATTCTGCATTGGCAGTGTTTCCAAGAAAGATTGCCAGCCACCAGCCTTAGCTGTATTGGACAGTGTTTCGGGCATCCTGATCATGACGGTTTCGAATACCCCCAATCACTACCCCCAGTGATGCCAATCCAGATTATTAAACCCGAGTTATTTCTCAGGGGGGCTTCCTCCTTTCTTCCAAGGGGGACCCTGATGAAAGGAGAACTGGGGGGTCAGCATGAGTTTTCTTGATTGCCACCATCTGGCTGTGGGCCAAAACGGAACCATGGTAAATGGAAACATGGACTAAAACCTGCGGTCCAATTCCTGGTGGTTTCATTTTGACCCATACCCATCTCATTCCCAGCGTCGCTTCGAGGAGACGACGACTGTGTCGGTGGAGAAGGAGGAGCCGGCGACCGCGGCGCCGGCCGCCCGAAAGCCCGGCGAGGGGCGACCGAAAGCCCGGCGGGAGGTCGCCTTGGAGAGACGCAGAAAGAATTGGTGGACATGACACCGAGTTCTAGTTTTCATGAAGGTGCTAAGTAATTTTTGCATGGCTTAATCTTTGGACTGTTTCTGGGTACCAAGTCAGAAACTGGGGTCACTTTGGGGGTGACTTGCGTGGTCAAACGACAACAAGCCCACTTAAGCTAGAACGAGCTCACCCACGACAAAGGGCCCTATGCGTGTATGTATATATCTACACATGCATATACACATGTTAAGCCTTTTTCCTTTGAGTTTGGATATGTCAATATGTGAGGAACTGTCAACGCCGTCGTGTTTGGTGTTCGTTGTTCCATTGGTGTTGTGGACAAGTACAATACCGTGGCAAACGATAGGGACGCGCAAAGACACCTACCCCTGAATAGAGTTAGACCATTGGACAACGACGGGGGGCTCGCAACATAATCAGCGAAACACTGCATGTCAGTAATTTCAACCGTGTTCCATATAATAGCCCCTGTAGTTTTTAGCTTGAGACGAAGTGCGGAGTCCCGCCCATTTGTGCCGCACATTCGTGGCGAATCCAATATTGTTTGCGGCTCACGTTCAAAACACGAGTTGATCATGCTAGCGGAATCTTTGGGACACATATTCTTAGTAGGGAGCTGCAAAAAAGACCCCTTTTTGCAACCATACCAAGGGTTGTGAAGTTACCACCTTGAATGCAAATCCCTCCACCAGCAAGAGTATCGCCAAGGGTGTGGCTGGACAGTCTACAGCACGGATCCATCAGGTTTAGTCCGATTGGGGGGTGGTGGTGACCCTCTAATTCCACCAAACCACCGGGCTCCAAGCCACCAAGCAAAGGGAAGCTAAACCCGGTCACCGGCGACAAAATTGCAATCTTTTACATTGCAATCTTTTACATGCACACCAATCAAAGCTTTAATCAGGGACCCTTTGGTGGACATCATTCAGTTGGGGATTGAGGCATAATGGTACATTTCATAGTTGTGGGATCACTCGGGGTTTATCCCGACTGTGATACAAGGGAATCCTCCCCTAACAATTTGTGGGGTTCGACTTTGGGAAGATTTCCCACAGCCCTGGTACATTTCATCCAAGCCACCAATCCAAATCAAAAGCGCCTCTTAGCATCCGTCCTGCTCAGTCGGTGGATCCCTTCGCTGACTTGCTGGGCATCATTATGTCCTGGCTGCAGCAGGCGTCCGAACAGTTTGCCGACTGCGGACATTTCTTGGGAGGCGCGTGTTGGAAAACGCATGGAGTCAAAGAACCTGGTTTTTCGCCTTTCCAATGTCTCTGTGTGTTATAACTGAATGGGCTGGGGATCTTCAAACACAGAAGTTGCATTCTGGGACTTCTCCTACCCACGCACAGGGGAATCCTCACAAAGCAGGCACATGGCTATGTGTCATTTGCATAGAGGCACCTTACACGACACATGCTGGTTATTCTTTGGGTTCGCTAAAGGTGAAACGAGTAGCTTCAAAAGCACAGATCCACATGGCCATGGTTCAAAACCAATGGTACCATTTGGGGATAGGTGCACCACCCATTGACGGGGTTTTGACCCATGGCCACACGGGCCATTCGAGTCGCTTGCGCGAGCGCGGCCAATTCTTGGGAGGCAGGCGGCACCTTGGAGCGGGAGGCGGTGCTGCCTCTGATCAAGGCGCGCATCCGGTGCCCAAGGAAACCAAGAAGCAAACAAAGAGCCAATATCAGACAGGCCAGGTTGAACACTGTTGCAGGGGGGTTCCAAGTAATTTCCCGCTCATGGTTTCTCAAAGCTTGGATGCACGTTCTCCAGGTGTTTTTCGATTCCTTTTAGCGTCCCTTAAACAACTCGGGTTCCTGTTTTTAAGACCGAACCAACAGAAACGGCCCCTTATCAGTTGGTGAAGCAGATCATGTCCAAATGGGCGGCCTTTCTGCTGACAAAACTTCGGTCGTGAAAGATCAAGGCGACGAGAAGGTTCACAACTGAGATTACTGTGGTCTTAATTTGCAGGTGCCTGAGTATGGCACGACCCGCATCTGCCACTCGACAATCCTGACCTCACGCCCCAACCACACAAGCGCAAGTTTCTTGGGACAGGGTCGCCGCGCCAAAAGGAACGCAGGGCCCTCTGCCAGATTTCTGTCTTCCTTGGCTTGTTGCTTTTCCCTTGGCTTGTTGCTTTTCCCTACCACAAACATCATTCCCCAAACAGGGGATGCCTATTTTGTGGCAGATAGAACCCTCTTGTATACCCATTGTATGGAGTATATTTGTTAAACACCCCTCATATGCCCATTCCACATATGCGCATATGTATAAAACTATTCATTGAATCTCGTTCCACCGTAGTGGGATTTTGTGTGTTCCTACCAGCGAAGACGCAACGCCGTGCTCTGGCAGAGCATCGCCCTTGAACAGGGTCCGTTCAATGATACATTGGGGCAATCACTTTCACCAGTTTATTTGGACCCGAAACCTGAATGGACCCCGGTTGAAGTGGTTTGTGCACGCATTCTTTGTTCGGACCCCGGTTGAAGTGAGCATTTGCCGGAATTCTCCAAAATCAACATCACTTTGGCCGGAATTCTCAAAAAGTCAACATCACTTTCGCCGGAATTCTCAAAAGGTCAACATCACTTTGGCCGGAATTCTCAAAAAATCAACCTCACTTTGGCCGGAATTCTCCCAACATCGAAGTCACTTTGGGGCGTTTTTGCCTTCCCTGTTTTAAGCCCTCCTCCCAGTGCCCCCCGGTTACCAACCAGCCCTCCCCTGTCGAAAGGGTGGCAATTTCGCCTTGAGGCCATGGGCTTCCGCGTGAGGGCGGTGATCCAGGCCCTCTCGCCGGGCCCCAAAGCCGCTTTGTCGGAGAGGAGGTTTTCTGACGAAAACAAGGAGAGAATCCAGGGAACCAGGGGGGGGTTTCCCTGCTTTTCCGATCTTGTCTTTTGGCTGTTCTTGTGTTTCTTTCTTTGTTTGTTTGTTTGTTTGCTTTGCTTTGCTTTGCTTTGCTTTGCTTTGCTTTCCATTCTTTTTTGTTTTGTGCTTCTGGATTTGTATATAACAAAGTTTGGTTTTGTCCGTTTCTGTCTCTTCAGGGTTGTTCTGAGTGGTTGGTTTCGATTCAGGGAGCAGGCCATTCTTCTAGTCCGCCCGTCTTTCTCTCTCAGGTTGCAGGCGCGGCATGCTTTTGCGTTCGGGTTGAGCGAGGGTCCTTGGCAGAGCGCCCGCCGGCGGGTCAGGAAGTGGGGACAGGCATGATGTTTTGGAACCGGTTTTTGGAACCGGTCAGCCTGGAGTCCCTGAACCATGTATAGTGAGAGGGGTCCATATTCAACAAGGGTGGGGGGCTTTTTGTGCATTTTCGACAGTTTCCATTCGTGGGTAAGGCGAAGACCATGTAAAACCAGCGTGGCCCTCATTTCTTCCAGTTGCAGGGTGAGTTGGTAGATGGCACAATTCCCTTCTGGATGAGTAGAGGAGATGACACCAAGATGAGGAGATGTCACTTTCACTCAACTGTACTTGCCCAGCCAGACAACGGGGCAGCCTGTTTATGGTGACAGTTCCAACCCAAAGTCTGGTAACTCCTCATTGTTGGTTTGGATTGGTGGTGTGGATTCGGATTTGTAGAGGAAACCACCTCTAAACCACCAAACCACCGGGCTCCAAACAATCAATTAGTGATAAAGGAAAGGAGAAGAGGATTCCAAGAGCCATCTGCGACCCAAGGCCGGACGTCTGGTGGCCGGTCCCCCAGAGAAAAAAGCCGCGCTTTTGGGCCCAGAAGATGGCCTGATCCTGATCCTCAGGCAGCTTAAAGGGGAAGGCCCCTTGTGAACCATAGACCATCAGCCCATAAAAGTCTCGACTCTCTGAAGACATGGACCATACATGATGGTTTCCCTCCAGGCTTCCGGGCGGATTGGCAGACCAACTGTGTCTTCTTTTGGTGGTTGGCATAGGTGTCCTTTGAATGCGACCATTGCATTTCTGGGCAGGTGTAGACACCCTTCCAAAACCTCGGGCAGGGGGGGGGGGGGCCTGATTGGTTCGCCGAGGCTCTTCAGACCACAAACGGGGTTCCGAATATTTCCACGTTTGGTGGTTTTAGACAAATGTGTCTGTGTGTGTGAGTGAGTGAGAGTGAGAGTGAGAGTGAGAGTGAGAGTGAGTGAGTGAGTGAGTGTGTGTGTGTGTGGGCGTCATCTTTTTGGGAACTCTTGTCGGGGTTTGCTTGAGAGAACAGCCAACACAAGCCGCCCATTTGTTGGGCTCAACCAATTTGAGGCCAGCCGCATCACCTTTTGCCGATTGATCTTCGCCACGAGGTCCCACCCGGAGGCCGAGTGCGAGATCCTGCTGCGGACGCCCGCGGGGGGTCCCAGGGGTCGACGCCGTTGGGAGTCTGTGGCAAGAGCTTGGCGTAGCTTGGGATGGGTTAGACCTCCTTTTGTCTGGCTCCGGGAAAGCAGACAATGGCCATCTTTGGTTTTCCGAGTTTTTTGAGGCTTGGGGCAGTTTGAATTGTTTGCATGCTGGTATGTTGCGGGTTGGTATGGGTCACATTTCCAGTGAAGCAATCTCAAGCTGGCCCCGCTAGGCACACCATGGAACCTCCTCTAGAACAATAGGACGAAGAGGAAGAAGAAGAAGAAGAAGGAGAAGAAGAAGAAGAAGAAGAAGAAGAAAAAGAAGAAGCAGAAGAAGAAGAGGAACCAAACATACCCCAATCAGATTGATACTCATAATGATAACAAAAGCCACAGCAACAAAGAGCAACAACAGCAGCATCATCCGAGCTGGCCGCGCCCACCTTTGACTCACTCTTAGGCCGGGGTCTCTCTTCACGCGAAGCCCTTGCCCAACAAGTACCTGCATGAGACGGCCGCTGGCTCGGGTGTGAGCGTGGCAACTGGGACTTGCACATAGGGAACACCGGACCAAGAACACATGTGTCAACACAGGACTTGTAGGGTTCCCTTTGTTCTCCCAGGGTGCCAAAAGCAAGTCCCGCATACGTTGGCCCTCGAAGGACTTGTTCCACAAGTTGACCAAGAAATGGCCCGTCTGTTGGGGCACCAGTTCATTTTTTGTTCCGCTCAAGCCTCTAGCAGTTTATTCCGAGCTCACCCATTTTTAGAGGACGGAAACCATGGGATGTTCTCGTTTTTGCCGTTGAGTCACAGTGTTTGTTACGTTTGTCTGCGACGCTGGATTGACCCACCTGGGCAACGCGTTTTGTTGGTAGTTGTTTAAAGTTGACCTTTTCCTTTTGCTTTTTCCTGTTCAGGTTGAGTTCAAGCTTAAGTTTTTGTTTGTGCCCCCTATGGGTGCAGGTCAGGCGAAACCTGGTCGCCTACGCAGGGATCCCAGTGTTCAGGTGGACGGGTCCACCAGATCGGTTGGTCTTTCTTCCAGGGCCAACCCCCCATTTGGTTTCAAAGAGAAACACCTTTGCCATTTCTTTGGGGTCGACCAAGTCGGCTCGCCTTGGATTTAAAGAGAAACCAAAAGGACTCTTTGGGTCCCCCAGCAAGCAGACACGCCCAAAGTAGGTGATGGCCGCCAGGCCTTCGGCGCTTGCTCCCAATGAAGCAAACACCAGTGCAGGTCCGACTGGCTTAAAGTCGAGAGAGTGAAGGTGGAGAAGGCATCCATCCTGCAGCTTCCCTTCCGTTTGTTCAGTTCAAGGTGTTCTTACCTGGTATATTTGCTCTTTTCCTCCCGTGGCACAACGATGCCCCCTCCTTTTTTATGTTTTGGGATAGAGAGCAAATATGAAGCAGAATCTGAACAAGCCATTTTTTCGTGCACACAGAGTTGGGCCAAGGCAAGCACCGACTGAAAGGATGGTTATTTGGGTATGCAACCTGGATGGCCCCCTGTACAGCCCTTAGGCCATGTATCATTGATGTTGATTGGACGATGTTGGGTATAGCCCGGAGGTCTGGTTGCATTCATTCCTCGGCCTGGATTCGAGGAATCTAGTTTGGGGAGCTGTGACTTGTACCCGCTGGCATTTGTTTTCGGTGTTGAATCCATATCAGGCAGTTATAGCAGTGGTTTGAAGCGAACCACATATGCTGCTTCCCTGGAACAAGCAACTGCAAATGGGTCCCTTTACCTCAATTTAGCAAACACCGATGGGAATGCGGCCCTGTGGATGTTTTTATCGCAGCCCTTTGACTTTTCAAGCAGTAAGGAACCTTGGCAGGTGGCCGCGTGTCAAATCGTTTGCAGGGCTCTTTCTGGAGACTGCTCCTGAATCCAGGCATTTGAAGGCAGCCTCAGTTTTTACAGGGGACACATGGTTCCAGGGTTTCTTAGGTGGTGCAGGATTTCGTTCATCCACAGTATGGCCATAAATTTTAGCAGGGAACCAACGCAAAAGTGATTGGCAAACTTGAATCTCCACCTAAATGATGTCCACCCAAGGGTTCTAAACAAAAACAAAAACATAGCCATATCCCGGAAAGCCAGGCGCCAAGTCCATTGCCTCGGATGAATCAGAGCTCTGAGGTTCAGCAGATGGGCTCCAAGGCCAAGTACGACAAGCTGGCGGGACTGCTAGGCGAGGGCAACCCAGGGGGCGGGCGTGTCTTTGTTTAGGGGACCCCGCAAGAACCGGGGGGGAATTTTCTTTTTGGTTTCCCTTCAAAACCACACTAAAGGGGGCTTGACAAAAAGACAGACCCAGGATTAGCGAGGAGATGCAACCCATTTGAAGGGACTCCAGATTACCTTGTTTAGGGGGAAACTGCCTCCAGTTCGCAAGGTGTAAGAGGATCGACATTGTTTGATACTTGGGTTTGGTACGTCTCCGTTCCAAGAATTTGGAGGCTTCCCTTCAGGTGGTGCGAATAAGAAGGGCCTCCAGCCGTATGTTGACCGGGATCCTTATAAAAAGGACAGAATGATGCTCCAACACAAAGACTTCGGATGATTGCGAGGCTGACTTGCGAATGACACAGCCCTTAACACGCAAGTACCGCACACATCCAAGAGAAACTCTACTCGAAGTTGGCTGACGGAGGTTTCACGGACAAAGGGAAGCCGTAGACTCCTCCCAAACCAAAGCCTGGGTGAATCATCCCTGTGAAAGGAACCCCCGGAAAGAAGTTCGGTCGCAAAGCCCTCTTTTTGTGCTAGAATTTGCAACCATTGTCCTTTTTGGTTATGGTTTAAAGATGGGCCCTGGTTTACCTGGTGTTTCAATCTGGTTTAAGGATAGGTTGGGCGATTCCTGGTTTACCTGGTGTTTCAATCATCTACCAGGGCCATCTTTTTCCACAAAAATACACCTATGGTTGCAGCCATGAGACTCGTGAGGTTGGAACGCCAAGTCAGAGCTGAGAAGAACGTCCGGGCCCAGGGAATGCCACAGTGGGGTCTGTCAACTGGGAATCCTTTTGGATGGGAATGCAAAAGGCGAGCTTGTTCAAAACCTAGTTCCAAATTGAATAGCGGATTGCGGATGGTGCGGTTTACGGATTGGATTCTGCGGCTTGTGGATTGCGGAGTATGGGTTGCACGGATTGTCCATGCTCCAACAGTACGGTTTTGACACACAGTTTGCAGCACGGATTACGGATTAAGAAGATGACAAACCAAGGCAAGGATTTTGCGGATTGCGGATTGCGATCGGGCCCAGGATTTCGAGCAGGCCAGAAAGGAAGCCAAGGGGGACAAGCCAACAAGCCAACCATATCCTCTGAAGAAACAGCTGGAGGGACGCGACGGGCCTCACTTAGTTTCCCTTCGGCTCACCCAATATCCAGAAAAGTCACGACATGTCCCCACAAAGTCCAGACAACTCCCCCTGAAGTTCCCCCACAAGCTCGGGGAAAAGTCAGTCCAGACAACTCACTTAAGTTTCCCATGCTCTGGGAGAAGGTTGTGGCTCACGTGGAATCCTTGGAGGTACGGGGCTCTGCGCCTGGTCCTGCAGGGTTTGCCTGAGGCTGGAGCTGTGGCTGTGCTTGAAGCAAGCAAGAAGCGACTTGGCATGCTAGCCGGTTCATTTTTTTTTTCCGAGCTGGTTTTGAATTGGAAGGCCAAAGGACAACCGTCTCCCCCCCCCCCCCCAATTTTGGGGATTCTTCTATTCAGCGACAAAGCTATAGTTCAAGAGCTTTCAGCCAGTCCGGGGCAACCAAGCCAAAGTCCCAAAGCAAACTCCGGGGGAGTTGGCACCTCGCTTGAGCCGAGGCTAAGCCGAAAGCGGAACCACTGACATGCGACCCTTGGTTGCTGCTGGTGTAAAGGAAACACGTTTTTTTTCTTCTTTTTTTCCCCCCCCCTCTTTGGTGGTTTAAAGGGAGAGTTCAACTCTCCTTCTTGTTTTTGGTGGTTTGGCTTGCTGGTTTGGAGCTTGGGGAGGTGGTTTCTCATTCACCCTCAGCAAGAACCACATGTTCAAATCCCCAAGCCACCGATCCAAACTACCAACTAAGGCTTACCTGAAACTCAAAGGAAACCAATCATGTTGGGGGGTTCTCCTATTTTGAGACAAGCCTGCGTATCCAGAGGTCTCCAGTCTATCGGCATTCGACTTGAACCGTTTTCGGTTGATGCCAGCTGGAGGAAGAACATGACCCATCGAGATTCTCATGATCCACAGTTTGTAGATGTCGTAGGGATATGTGGCAAGCTTTTGTCCAATGCTGAGGTTTGAGTTTGGCAGCGCAGTTACAAGCAAGGCCCTAATTATTTGCCGGTAAATTGTTGGGTAATTTGGATTGGTAACTTGGATCAGCGCATGAACTTTGGTTTCCTTGACCATGTGATGCAGAGACTCCAGCCAGGGCATCCCTTTTTGTCGGGTGCCCGTGATGCGTAGACCTCGGGTTTCTACCAGAACTTGTGCGCAGGGCAGTCAGCCAGCGCCATTTTTTAGCGACCTTGGAGCCCGTACCGGTCTGGCCAGATCTTCTACGACCCCCACAAGCTCTACCTGAAGCAGGTGCTGGAGGGTGCGTGGTGGCCCAGATGGCTGCGCGCAACTGTCACCGGCCATCAAAGCAAGTGTCACACCCGTGGCCCCTCCAAATACATGTGTCAAAGAGGGGGCCGTGTCGAAAATGCCGGGGGGTTCCCTCTGCGGTCCCTTTAAAAAACCCACCCCAAAAGGGGAAACAGACCACTACGGAGAGCTTCCGAGCACTTCCATCCAGCAGCGGACCCTGCGAGCGCTGGACGGATCGAATGGCCCCAAAGCTGAAGCTTGGAGATTCGGCGATCCGTTCGTGAAGCAGACCAAAAGTCCCCTTTCCAAAGGAAAGCCAGGAGGAAATGATTGAACCCACCGTGACTCAAACATGTTCAAACCACAGGTGGGCCCAACCCTGGGATCACGTTCCAGCTTGCAAGCAGCTCTCAGGTGGTCGATTGGCCTGTCAACAAGGATGGGCGAATAGGACCGGGTCCGGGGATCGATGAAGGTTAGTAAGGGACACTCCCCTTGCCATGAATAGCTGCGGATATCCGCCTTCTTAATTCTTGAAGCATGGTTCTGGGTCGGCCATTTTAGTACCAGGTTTTGATTGTGGCTCAGATGGAATGGGCAGAGTAATGGGCGGCGGGTCGCGCGGTTCAGCGGGGGGAGGCAAAGGCGTCCATCGCACATGAAGGATCTGTGGTTTCTGGATTCTGCTCTGGAAATGCCAAAAAGCAACTTTGCAGGCTGGATACGTTTGTGGGGGTGAATGGCTTCTTGCAACGGGTTGACCACATCGTCCTGACCTGGAACCCATGTATCACCTGCCGCCCCATACTCGGAACCTCTAGCTTGGTGCAACCTTGTTCAAATGGAAGCTGGCAGGCGCTTGGAAGACGGTCGCTGGAAGAGTCCTCTTCACTTCCATTCTTGGAAGCTACCTCGGAACTGGAAAGCAATCCCCTTACCATTTGCGGAATGGTGCCCTCCTGTTTTTGGCCCTTAAGCAGCTGTCGGCTGCTTCTGACCAACATTTTTGTCGGTAAGTGGTACGGCCGAACCCATCCTGCCACTTAGGCCACCAAGCTTGGGCAGTGCGGTCTCAGTGACGCAGTGATCTAGGGACGCACCTCCGGTGTTATGGGGGGGCCGGGTGGGTGGGTGGGCAGAGAACCCGCAGCATGTTGCAATTCATCATGCACATCATGGACCCCGACCTGTCTGTGTCTTTTTCACTTTCGAGGAGTCTCTTTTTGGGGCACTCCTTTTGTTAAAAGACGCAGTGGAGTTGAGAGTCGCCTGGACAGCTGCGCGCAGAAGTGGGCAGTCCTCTTTGCTTGCAGGCATTGTGCCCATTACTTCTCACTTCCTGAGTTCCTGGACTTTATACTTTTTGGGAGAACCGGATTTTAGCGGAAAACAACCAGTTCAGACTTTCTCTGGTTACCCAATCCACTCAAGAAGTGAGACTTCTTCCGTTCTTCCACCCGGCTTGGGGACCAACCACGGCTCGTTCGACCAGGACCCAACTCCCAGAAGGAGGTGGTGCAGCACTGGACGCGCGCCTGCGATGACCTGAAAGGCGCGCGAGTCGGCGAGTCGAAAGAGCCAGGGAGCTGGGGTGAACGTGGGCTGAGGTATGATATGGGTATGGTGGTCAACACCACATGGGATCCCATTTTGGGGTAGGTGAATTCACCACTCATTTTAGTCTATGATGAGTGGGGATTGTGATGTTTACTGGGGGTGCGGGATTTTGGCCCATGGCCACATGGGTATGGGGTCAAAACTAAACCATGAGGGGACCGGCAGGGTTTCAGTCCATGTTTCTATGTACCAGGGTTCCTTGTTGGTTACCTATTTTTCACCCGCAGCCATTTGGGTTTGTCTTACAGGCGGCTGCATGCTTTAAGACGTCTCTGCCGGGACCCACAAGCACTCACATTGGCCGTGCTCATAATTGTTTAGCTGCTAGTGGGCCTTGCTCGGCATTCCAGACAGCTGCTTTTTGTCTAGCCATGCCAAATCACACTTCCTCAGGCCCTTAAAAAAAATATGACCTCTCAGCTTCGGCATCAAAGGCTGTCTGCTCAACACCTGGCTGGCCACTGAGCCTGTATAATGGCACTTGCGCGAGGAAGAAGTCGGCTTCACCAGAGGTGGTTGCTGCCTTTTCTTTCCCTTCTTAGCCCCGGGGCATAAGTGACATTTGACCAGGCGCCTCCTGCCAATGCCGTCGCATGCTGCGTCTTGTTTACGTACATCTACTCTTGGCTACATTATTCAGACCTGAGCCCAGCCCAAAGCCAGAGTAGCTCTCCTTTCAAAGACGCATGCTGTGTCAGACGTCTTAAATCCCGCTCGGCTCTCCGAATAACAAAATGGTTGGCTTCCTTTTGGCTTCCCAGTACAAACCAACCCCAAAAAGGTACCCGCAAAAAAAGAAAAAAACATGTTAAATCAAAAGGAGAGCCACAGTTTTTGGTTGGGTCTTCCAGTTTATGACATGCCTATATGTTTGAGTACCCCAAGGTCAGAGCGTCCCTCAATTTCCTTTTCTGTGGCTAGGAATTCTGGAGGGAATACCGAGCTCACAGCTGAATTATTATAAAATTGAAACTTGATGTTTTGCAAGTTAGTCTACTTGTCATTGCTATTCTAGTGCCTTTTGGGGAATTCCAGATTCTTGTTTTCCTATTCCTTATCCACTAAATTTAAGGAATTTCAGATTGATGTTCTCTCTAATTGTTAAGCTATTTTCTAACTTGGGGGGAATTACACGAATTATTCCAATGATTCCGAACAGGACGGGCCCCTTGAGGAATTCCTTAATTTCTGCTATGACTAATCTACTCTGAATGATCATTCGTCCCAAAGGGACGGGTGCCTTTTGGGGATATGTTTGTTCTAATTATTCTAGTTATTCTAACTGTTCCATTTTTCGAATTCTTCCCAAAGGGACGGTTGAAGATTCATGTTGTGCAAATTAGTCTACTTTTCATAGCTATTGTAATTGTTCTGCTTGTTCCGAGAGGGGCGGGTGCCTTTTGGGGAATTCGATGGGTCCTATTGAACCCAGCAACTATTCAGGGAAAACCCTGGGGGGGGGGGGGGGGGGAAATGAAGAGTCCGAAGTCACGCATCGAGGTCAGTTTTTCCAGACCAGTGGCATGCGGTCTGCTGGACTGGCCCTTTTTGCATGAGTGAACAAGAAACTAAACCTCTACAGTATCTTGTAGATGTTTCTTTTTCCAAGATTTGCAATTCCATGTTCCCCAAGATTTGGAGACACCCACACTTGTAGATGTTTTTCCATTTAGCGCTTCCCCTTAGGTCTACCGACTTTTTCCAGCGCTTGGCTCGCAACAACAGGGGCGCGAAGCTCGGAATGGGCGTGCTTGAGCTGCCCTCGCTGCCGCAGACAGAGCTTCAAAGAACTGAGTTGCTACTCAGCTGGTGGTGGAAAGGTCGGCAGAAGTTGAGGAGCTTTACCAGCACGCAGAAACCACCCGCGAGTTTCGGTCACTTGCTCATGATGCAGCAAATGGCGTCCTCAGAGAACTATCGCAACTGACTGGCTGGCTTGGCCAGAGAAGAGACTCAGAAACAGGAGGTCAAGTCTGTGGTTGCGCAGATGAGAGTTTTTTCCACAAAGAAGATAAGCATACCCAAGACGGCCCGATAAGCATACAAAGGAGATAAGCATACCCCGGGCCGGGCCGTCTTGCGATACGGAGCCGTCTACGATGGATGACAGGGACGATGAGGTCCTTTTCAGGCTTGATCAATTTGGAGATTGACTTCAAAATGTTGCCCAACTCGGCAGTGCAACTGCAAAAGGTGTCGGAAATGACAGAAGCCTTGCTTGTGACGTTCCCTCGCAGATAGTTACCGTGTGGCAGTGCTGCTGACAAGCCTCCTCCTTGGAAGCTTCAAGTGGTCCAGGGACGCAGCCAAGGACTGGCAGGCGAAAGTTTACGCAGTGGTGCAAGGCATCGGGGTACGTGAGCCCGACAAGGTTTGAGTTCTTGTGGCTATGTTTCGCTGCAACCAGGCCGGCTTGCGCCCAACGGGCACCCGCTACTGAGCTCAGGCAAGGGCGGACGAGAAGTGATTTCGCAACTTGCTTTTTGTGTTTTGCGGTGGCATTGGATCCGTGTGGACGCAGGAAATGAACAGTCTGGTTCTGCTGCCAATCCATCGGGTACGCCTCGTCAAGTCCTTCCACGCAGAGCTTGATGCTCACGTGCGCGCCGCCTGGGGACAACTGCGCTGCGCCCAACCTGCGCTCCCGAGCGGTGGTGGAGCGGTTGGCGGAAGTGGAGGAGCTGCGCCAACATGCAGAGTCAAGCCGTGAGTTCAAGACCCTGGCGCAGGATGCAGCGAATGGCACGCTCAGAGATCCTCACCATTTTTTCGTTTCCGCCGGAGTCTTATCCATGTTCATCAGGGTCGAGCGACGGATTGTTAAAAACATCAAAAAATAGATGCAAGACTATAGCGACGAACCGGAAAACACAAGTTAACACTGACTTGTTGAAGGTTGGCCGCGTGTCTGGGAGCTACCAAGCCGTACCATGTGGGACCCACGATGCCACGAAAAAAAACCCCCAATCCACTCGCATGACCTGACTGCCTATGGCATTGCCCTGGCTAGGGAGTTTGCGGCCGGCCATGGCATCTTGAGTGCCGTTGCAGCCTCCTGCATCACTGACTTAACCGTGCTGGAGCCCTGAACTCCCTGGACTGCTCGGCTGCCTTCAACAAGGCTTCCGTCGCCTCAACACAAGAGTTCCTATCCCTGACTCTTGGGTCTCTTTTTTCCCCGTCTAAGATCGGTGTTTTTGACTTGATCCGCGATGGCCCTTACATACATGTAAGATACTGTCTGGGTTGGTTAGAAAAAAGACTGCGCTCGTCTCGCCGGACCACCGGCGCGAGAAAAAAAAGGGTGGGGCCCGCGCCCCCGCCCTTTTTGGTCAGCGCGTGGCTGACCGGCACCAGCGCGTGGGGGCGAACTAAAACAAGCATGTGTGCCATGAATGCCAAGTTAGACGGCTATCCGTTAAAGTTCCCCTGAGCCTTTGCCTGATTATTACGGTCGATCTTCACAGCGGTCTTCGTGGTTTTCTCTAGCTTGGGCTGACCCGGCAGCCTCTATTTTGTACTGCCACCTCTTTCCCGCAACGTCTACATGCAAGTAAGATATTAGGTCTTGGCGTTCCCTTAGGCCTAGGTCTAACCGCGTGATGCATCCTACGCTTCTTTTCCTTACGCCAGTGTTGAGCGCACGCCTCGCACCCACAAACTAACACGGTGATTTTGGTGGAGTCTGCCACTGCGTGGCGCCACTGCGTGGCATTCCTCGTAATGGTAGGCCAGCTGATTGGCCTTAGCGAAGTTACTGTTGCACACCGTACAACTTACCCCCCTGCCATGGGCTCCACCTGCTCAGAACCTGTTCCTTATGTTTGTCCACTGCCTCTCCTGCGCCAGCAGACCACATGTCCCGCAAAGCCTCATCCCACGACTGTGCAAAAACTGTGAGACGAGGAAGGCAAATTCGGGCACGCTGAGATTCTAGGCGACTTGGGCGCTGTTGAACGCCGGCGTGCACGGGGTTTCCTCGTGAGGGAGTTGACCCACCGACACCTTTGTTGTGTTCCTTCAATCCTACATACTCCTTGTGAGTGGAATGGAAGCGACCCATGTCACCACGATCTACACGCGTGCGCAAGTCATTTTTGGTGACGCAACGGACATGGCAGCGCTCGGCAATGCGTACACATGCTCAAGAAGGGCAGCGTTCTGGTCAGAGGTGCCTGCGCGTCCATTCGTGACCTGGTCCCGACCTCCGACTGTCCCCCGGGTTCATGACCCGACGACGCTGGAAGCTGTCGCGGTTGACGGGACTTCCCTGACCGCTGCCGGCGAACACGCCATCCCAGTGGCAGGCTCTGACTGAGGAGACTCGAAAGCAAGATCTCAAAGCCGTACAGGAGCGGTGGACTTGGTCGACAAGGGGGAAAGCTAAGAAAAAGAAGGCAGGGCGGGCGGGCCGGAAAGGCTTGAGCGGGGCGTGGCCTCGATATTTCATCGAAACGGGGGCTAGAGATTAGGTAAGCGTAGAAAACCTATAAATACTGGAGTCTAGTGACGGTAACTAGTACACGCGCGCGGTTCACCTCTCGAACTCCACCACGAAATTTTTGCATACTTGGCGCTACGATGCGAGTCTGGCAAATGGGCGAGGCAAGGGCAAGCGCGGCAGGGGCTGACAGTCACGAAGTGACAGTTTCTTTGTCTTTCTTTCCGCAACTTCTCCGGTTGTGATATATGTCTCGGGCACCCACGGCTCCGTTTTGCCTTGGGCACTTTTCAGGTCACCTTTGCATGATAACCCGTACAAACACAAGACGAGGGCAAGCGTGCTAGGTATCACTAGGCTAGCGATCTAGTTTTACTTGGCGTTGGTATGCAAGATGCCGGGGAAGGCCCCCTTACAGAACGCAGTGTCGGAATGTGCCTGGGTTCATGGTTTTTTGCATAGAATTGCGTTTCTATTCGGGCGTGGCCTGACACGTGGAAGTGTTGGATCCGACCTTGGGCCAGGCGTGGAAAGACAACAAATTCCCGGGCTGCCGGGAACATTGTCCTTGGTTTTGCGTAAAGCGCTTGGCAGCGCACGCGTCTACCGCGCACTCCAGTGTCTCCACAGCATCATGCGCATTTTTTCCGCGTTTTCTTGCTTTTTGCAATAGTGCGGCACCCTTCTAGAGCGCTTTGAATGGCGGTTCTACCATCCTTCCAAACGAGAGCTATATAAGAATGCCTGTAAATGGGGAATCAATCTTAACAGGAAAGACTGGGGGCCCCGAACTTATTTGCACTCATCTCACATATGTTTAAACAACCCTGAGTTGGTGGGATGTTCACCTTGGTTCTTGTAGAGGGTAAATGGGAATCCACCCCCGGAACACCTCCAAGCCGCCAATCCAAACCACCAATCCAAACCATCAATCCAAACTTACATTTGCTAAACAATATTTGTTATTTTCGCTTGTTGGTTTTACAGGGAATCTGTCGCTATTGGAGATAGAAACAAACCAAATTGATTTGTTGGCCCGAAAGGTTTGCACTGCGCGAGTCGTGCAGGCGCTGGAGACGTGGACTGGTTCAGTGCCAAACGCCAGCTGCTGGGGGTGGCCGGGCCCACAGATTCTTGGATTTTGGGGGGGTTGGGCGTCTCTTGGGGGAAGCTGGGACTTCAACGGCCCTTCCTCGAGCCACACTTAAATCCCACAGTGAAACTTACGAACAGTTTTGCCCACTACTTGGCCTGGCAAGAAGCGCCACATGGGGCTTTGCAGGAGCCTACAGTCTGTTGACGGCTTTTGGACATTCCTGCCCACCCGTTTGGGAAGGTCATTCTAGTGGTGCGAGATGCGATCTCCATTCTTGCCTCGCCCAAAGAACAGACCTCCCTCGGATGTTTGGCGGAGTCCTGCGAGTAAATGGGGGAGTTTTGCTTCCTGGAGCTTTTTCATGTGACAAAAGGTTTCAGGCGAGTACCCTCAAAGGTTGGGCAGATCGGGTTGAAACCATGGCTTGACCGTGTGAGACAATGCTTGGTGGAAAGCTGCCGTGTTCCCATGCCTCCCGTCCACAGACTGACAATTGATGGCTGAGCGACTGACAAACCATCAGACAACCACGAGCCGACGAAACAGATAAACACAAGATTACCAGGCAGGCAGAGACACGCAGGCAGGCAAACAGGCAGGCAGACAGACAGGCAGACAGACAGGCAACTGTTTGGCTCTGTCTGCCTCTGTCTGTGCAGGGCCGTGAGACGTCGAGATTCACTTTGTTGTGCACGGCGTGCTCCTTCGGACCAGCGCTCGCCCCGAAAAACCTTCGTCTTCTGCTTTTTCTGCAGCCCTTGAAATCAGGTGGACATGTGCGGACATGTACCCAGCATGCATCTTGGAAACCAGCTCATAGCATACCATACCATGCCGTGCCGTGCCATACCATTCCATGCCGTGCCGTGCCATGACTTGCCATGCCGTGCCATGCCGTACCATATCATACATCTCGGCTTCCTTGGCATCGACTGCCGCGGAGTTCTCCGGGGCCTCTCAGGAGTTCTCAGGCCTTGGGCTGGAGAGGTCTTGCGGAGCCTTTCGTACGCAGGTGGCTTTGTCAATTTGTTGGGTTGACGCGTCCAGCGTCGCCATGCGTCGCCCAAGGCCCACTGAGCAATGGCTCCTCGCGGAAACGGCGTTGGCTTGACGTCAAGCAGCAGCTGGGGACGCGTCCGGTGTCATCATACCGTGGGGACCGCTTGGGATCAACTGATGATGGATAGGACAGCCGATCCATTGGCGTGCGGAAAACCTTTTCGCGACTCCTGTTCGAAGCTGTGTCAATTTATTTCATGGTTGCGACCCGTCAATTCTTTGCCTTAGTTTGCTTCCGTGAATGTCATTGGTCAAATAAATGGCAGCGGCTCGAAAAAGTGGTACCAAAATGGCACCTTGGTAATTAAATGGAATCAACAACTAAAACCCGCTTAACCCCAGCTCTGTTATTTTGAGCCATACCCAAATGTGCGCTTCCATATCACTCCGTTCATTTCATTGCGCAAGCCCTCCCTTGGGATTGCCTCACAGTTAATGTCGATCCAGGATTAATAAACCCGTCCCACTATTAGGGGGGTGTTCCCTCCAAAAGTGGTCTGAATCCCCACTAAAAGGGGACACCCCCCCATCAACATCAGCCAGGGGTTCTACGTTCCGGGGTTCACATTAGGCGATGAAGCAAGGAGGGCTGCTGGACGTGCAGGCGTGGTGTGAACTCGTTGCCGTCGAAAGACGTGGCTGAAACTGAACTCAGAGGTTTGGTTCCCTCGGGGCTTTCCTTGCAACACTCGAGCGAAACAACTCTTTTGTTTTCCAGGGTTCCTTAAAAGATACATTTTGCATCCATTTGCAACATGGCTTTTTCCACAGAAGTAAATGGATGCCACCATTTACAAGGCAATGCTCAGGTGTATAATGTAAGGATCCCTGTTTTCGGGCACCCCCTTAAAGGATCCTTCTCTTGGGATGGTTTTGCAGGAAACCAGCTATTTGGACAGTCCCTGGTCATGAGCAATTATCCAGCTGGGAGCCGCCTCATGTCGCTCGGATTCCAAAGCAAGAAGGCGGCGTTTTCCACGTTTTGCACCCAGAGTTATTGGGTCGGTCTTGATCCCTGTAGGTCGCGCGATGGCTCATCCAACCAGCCGGGGAGCAGGCGTGGGAAGAAGACACATGCCTTGGCTATCAAACCTGCCTGGGCTTAGCGCGACCTATGTTACACATGCACAAGGCGTGCAGGCTCTGTCGGACTCGTCCAACAGTCTTGTCTTTTCATGTGTCTTGTCGCTGACTGGAAAAGCCGAACTCCCGCTTGCTGATTCGGAAACCCCGTCGAAACCATTCAATCCAATCAATTTGGTTCTCGTTTCCTTTTCGATGTTGATGTTGTTTCCAATTTGGTTCTTGTTTCCAATCAATTTGGTTCAAGCATCCATCAAGCCCTCGATGTTGAGCCCCAGCGTGCTTCGAGGCGACGCTGGAGCGGGTCTGTGAGGCCGGCTCCAAGTACGACCTCACGAAGGCCTGGAAAAAGCCGGGCGGGGCCGAAGTTCCTGGCTGCACGGGGCTCGGACGGAGACCCCGTCTGATGGCCGTGAATTTGATGTAGGAAGCCCCTGGAAAGCGGTTGGTGGCCAGAAAACGTGCACCTAGATGATGTTCACCAGAGGGTCCAGAATTAAAAACTTCTTGCCCAAATGGCCACCCTCCAAGATTCGGCTCCTGGGTTTCTGAACTTACAACCTTGTGGCCTTGGCCACGGAAGTCAGAAGCCCAGCCCCTTTTTTTCTACATTTAATAATTTGTTTCTTGCCGGCGCGATAGGTAGGGAATGTGGGAATGAGCCGTTTTGGGATCCCCTTAAACAGGAGATGGTTTATAGGGCTCATTCTCTCATTCCCTGCTGAGCACCAGCAAGTTTCATCATGATTTCTGCAGGAGTAGTCTTCTTGAGTCGAGGAAAACCCACGAAGCCAGGTAGTTGAAAAGGCCTTGAGACTGACCCGCCTTGACATGTTCACTCACAGCATCCTCATTTTCAACTCAGCCCCTAAAACATGGCGCTTGCATTGGATCCGGACAAGCAATTATGTTGAAGATTGAGCTTGTAGGGGTGGTTTATCCAGAAAAGGTCTCCCTTTGAATTCCCGTTTTATTTAGCAACCCAGAGGGCTTGAATAGTTGGCAGGTTTCAGTTTGCTTCCTTTTGGTTGAGAGGGAGTTGCAGTTGAACATTCGCCCAGACAGACGGACCGAATGGACAAATTTCACCCAAGACAAAGGTTGCTTCTTGACTTCTCGACTGTGCGGGAGCATGACCAAAGAGTGATATGCTCGCGCCACGTCCAAACGGGGCCAACGTGTGTGCGCGTCCATTGAAGAGGTCCATGGCAGGTCTCTTCGGCACTTTTGGCTTCCTTGATTCGGCCCATAGATGTCAAGATTCCAAAAGGCGAACCTTGGAATTCCAGGTCCCTAAGGGGCAAGTGAGTAGTGGTACATTAAAAACTCTTGCAACTCATTTGTTGGGCCAATCCACTCAGGAAGTTTGAAGTTTGAGCAACCCAAGGGCCGCAGGGGAGACCTGGGCGGCGGTTCCCATGCAGGTTCTCTTCTGGGAGCCCCGCCGCGTCTTCCGGCGGCGCACGCCCACGGCGGCTGCAGACCTCCAGGTCACGGGCCCCAGGGTGTGACACCGGAGCCGGACTCACTTTTTTGACCATGGTGCGTTTGGGGAGTAAATGGGAAATCCATGGGACGTTTGTGGTTTGGGGCAAAAAAAAAGGAATCCCTGGAAAAGACGACTTTTCGGTTCCCTGTACCCTCCCACCAACGATTCCATGGAAGCGCACAAAGCCCCTTTCCAAGGGGAAAGTAGTCTTTCTGCAGGGTTCTGTGCACTTCCATGGAATCGTCGGTGGGAGGGTAAGTTTGGGGAGTAAATAGGAAATCCATGGGACTTTTGTGGTTTGGGGCAAAAGACGGAATCCATGGAAAGGGGAAAAGGATGGCGTTGCTACTTTGTATGCATTTGACGTTGGAAGAGGACCTTTCAACAGGGGAGACCCACAAAAATTGGGGTTGAAAGGGACTTTAGCAGGAGGCCAGCGCCCATTTCTTGGGAGGGCCATTTTCTGGAAGTGGCACGAGCTAGAGGAAGATACGGGGCAGGTCGGACATGTATTTTACTTGGACTAGTTGACCTTTCAACCTTGGAAACACTGAGAAACAATTAGTTGTGACAAGCAAAAGGGGTGCAGCCTTTGGTAGTTTAAAGCCGGACACGTCCTTGACCAGCAACATCTTTAGATGAAGGTTAGTATGGGACGATCCCAACCATAAATAGCTGCGGATATCCGCCTTCTTAATCCTGTACATGGCTCTGGGTGGACCATTTTAGTACCAGGTTTTCATTGCGGCTCTCGTGGCTGCACTGATTTCTTATTGTGGATCGAGCTGACCCGATCGGAAGAGGCCTCGCGAACAGAGTTGATTGGTGTCTGGGGCTGGGGAGGGGGTCCTGGGATCTCTGGCCTTTGTTCATGGCGAATCGGTTTCGGTGTCTCGTTGTTTTTCCGTTTTTTGTTTTTTGTTTTAATCCACAATGTTCTGGACATGACTCGGTTTTCCGCACCGGTTCACGACTCACGAAGCTTCCGGATCTCAAGCGGGTGTGGCTCAAAATTAAGCAGCAGGGGCAGACCGCAGGTTTTGGTCCATGTTTCCACTTACCAGGGCAAGCCGGCAAGCCATTGTGGAATTCCGGATTTTTTGAGCCACAGCCAAGTCGTTGTTCCGGATCACAAAGAACAGACCGTTCCATTGCAGAACATGTTCTCCTGCAAGAATCTCTTGTCTCACTGCTGGACGAAATCTTGCACCAAGAAACCATGGGGCTTCCCACTGCTTGTTGGAAATACCCCAGGGAGGAATCATCACTTTTGGGCATCTGGCTTTTTGGGATGGCTTTAATTCAAACACACCCTCACACAGACACACCAATGCTCATCGTCCAAAGCTCACGGACTGAACTTCTGCTTTAAAAGGTTGAATCACAAACACTTGCTTGCGCAAGTGCGTGGGCCTATCATACAACAATCCCCCCCCCCGGCTTAACACGGCCTAGGATTCCATGCAGGTGGCAGGCAAGGACCTGACATTTCTGCTGTTCATAAGCAAGTGCATGGGGTGAAATCTTGACTTTTTGTTTTCTAAAGTTTGGATGGAACTAGTCCGCACAATCAATCACGCAGTCCTTTCCCCCGAATGCGCCTTCAGGTTCTAGGCTGGCTTCGGTCCACCCCTGCTCAAGACTATATCCAGTCAGGTTTCCATGCATGAGCCGCGGGTGCCAAAACCAGTTTTTAGGTACCCCCTAAGAATGGTTGTTTGCCTTTGGTCTTCCCTTGAACCATTCAGCAAGATGCTCAACCCACCAACAAGAAGCTTCTTTGCCTTTGACACGTCATCCAACGGGATGCCCCCCCCCACCTCCAGGCCCCATCCACAGGCCCCATCCACAGGTCACACTGTCCCCTTGACCTCTCAGGCGGACTTCAGCCTGCAGCAGGCGATGCTCAAGGCGAGGGGCCACCCCACCCCCTCCCCATGCTGAGGTTTGGGGTCTCAGCCCAGAAAGGCTCCGGGTGGTCCGGGGTGGCCCTGAGGTAAGGTTCCACCACACCAGGGTTTCCACCCGCTGAAAGCTGTTGATGGATTCTTGTTTGCTTCTCGCTCAATTGCGCTTGAGACTTGGCGGGATGGGGGCGAAGCCAGCCGCTCTTCCGGTCCAGCTGGCTCAGCTCCCCGAACGAGTTCTGTTTTGTAAGGTCCTTTGCTCCAAGTGGGTGTCCAGCTCCCTCAAACCACCACTCTGGTGTTGGTTGGTTGGTTGGTTGGTTGGTGGGTGGGTGGGTGGGTTGGTTGGCTGGTTGGTTGGTTGGTTGGTTGGTCGGGTTTGGTTTGGTTTGGTTTGGGTTGGGTTGGGTTGGGTTGGGTTGGGTTGGGTTGGTTTGTTGGTTGGTTGGTTGGTTGGTTAGGATTGGCTGGGCCAGGGTGGGCCTTTGGTGGGTTGACATGGGCCGGGTTGGGTTGCGTGGGAGCACCGGTTGGGCCGGGGTGGGCGCGTGGGTTTGGCATGGGTCGGGTTCGGATTGGCGGGCTTGGGTTGACTTCGGCTGAGAGAGTTCTCTGCTATCACAACATGAGCCTCGTTGTAAAGGGGGGGATGCCAATATAGATCCGAGCCAGGTATTTTGCGACAACCACCCCCACCCCAACCCCACCCTACCCCCACCCTAAGCCAAGCCCAAATCTCACACAAAACCCACTGCAACCAACCCCTAAGCCGAGCTGTTTTCCCACCCCTAACAGCAACATCCAGCTTTTTGGCTTCCAGGCAGAGAATCAAAAGACGTCGCGAAAGAACGCAACTACCTGCATCCTCGCATATTTCCCTCAAGCATCATCAGCGCTGCCCTTTCACAAGCTTGTTATTCCCTGTGGATGAACATGGGACCTGAAAAGGGGGTGGCGCGAAGAGGGACTCCTCGAAATAGGCAGGTTTGTTGGGTGCCAGATGGGCCCGCAGGAGTGTTTGCATCAAGACGTGTCTCCCCAATTTTTCATCGGATGTTCCTTCACATGTCCCAGTCATCAGTCCGAAAGGCGTGTTTGCGTGTTTTGCTGCAGGTTTGCAAGTGTGTTTTGGACGTGCGGCCATCATACTTCCCCCTTTTTGTAGCTCAAACCTCAGCATTGGCATTCGGCTTTTGGGTGGGGGCAGGGGACATCTGGGTGACTTTTTGAGGTTCGGCACCCTTTCCGTTGCTCCGTTCCAAGGAGCCCAAAAGGAAAGCACTCCTCTCCCCGGTTCGCAATTCGGACGCAAATCCACCGAGTCCGAAAAGGAATCCTCCAAGTAAAGGGAGCCCAAACCGACGCCCTGTCAAAGGGAAGTCAGAAGCCAACAAAAACGGAGCCCGCGCAACGGACACCGACGGTCGAATCGGACGACAGGCGGTGCGGGCCAACGGCTCGGCCACCCTGGAGGAGCTGAAGGCGAGCGTCTGGACGAGCGCCTCTTTTTTTCTCCCCGGGTAGTTGTGTTTCTTCTTCTTCTTTTTTCTTCTCCCCATTTTGGGGTTAGCCCTAAAGTAAGACACACTCATTTTGGACATGATCCGGCTTCCCTTAACCCCCAAGAAGGGCACCGCGTCCAAGGCAACGAAAGGCGGAACCTGAACCTCAACCCCAGGTGTGTTCTTTTTTAAGGGGGGACGCCCCCAAAATGGTGGTTTTCCTTTCAATTGTTCTTTGAAAACCATCACACAAAAATTACTCTCGAAACAGGTACCCAGATAGCTTTAGCTATGGGGGTTCCAACTGCAGAGTAAAGGGTGTTGAGCAAAATCTTTGTTTTGCAGCGGGGTTCCCACCAAGGATCGCCAGGGGAGGTTCCGCTGGAGTTGCCTTGGGCTTGTTGGAAAAGGGGCCCCTTTTTGAGGGTGTGAAAGGGAATCCGAATGATTTCTAAAACGAGTGTGTCTTACTTTCGGGTTAACCCCAAAATGGTAGTTGTCCTTTTGGCTTCCTTTAAAACCACCCAAAAGGGGAACCAAAGGGAAGGTTAGCAGGCCTCGTGTGTGGGTGCTTGAAAAATCCCGGACCATCGAGAATCATCCCCGAATCTCACACTTTGGGGGGGGGGTTTTGACGGGATGGCTGTTGGCAATACCCCCGGCGTAGGTTTTTTGGTGGCGTCGAGGATCGGGCGGTTCCAACGCGGAAAAGAGCGGCAGGTCCTCGCAGCTGCGTTCCTTGAAGGGAACCTTTTGGGCCGAGCTGGCTTTGAACCCGGTCAGATGGCCTGGCTTGTGAGAACAAACATCCAGGCTCTCCAAAACGGCTCTTGTCTTCTTTTGAGGCGGCTTTTTTTGTTTGTTCTCGTGGGAGGGGGGGGGGGGAAGGAAGGGGAAGGGGAAAACCAACGGGACCTTGGCGCCCATTTTGGGGAAAATTGTTTGGCCCAAGAAGACCTTTGGCGTGAGGCTTCAGTGGACGAAGCCGGCTTGGCGGAGAAGGCCGAGTGTGCTCCAAGTTGCCAGAAGCTCACCTGTTCCCCTTGGACTTTTCGGGGTTCGTTTATTGCAGGACGTCCAAGCCAAGGAACATGGACAGCTTTTTTTTTTCTTCTTCTTCTTTTTTCTTTCTCTTTTTTTTCTGCAGGATGTCCAAGCCGAGGAAAATGGAACCCACAATTCTCGGGTCAAACCGTACTGCAAGCTGCTTTCTTTGGGGCTGCGCATGGAGAAGCTTTTGCACCTGACGAGTTGCGGGTGTCGAGTTCGGAGCCTTTCGAGCCAGAGGCGCCGCCAAACCGTCATTTTTTCCGCAGCTTTTTATGTGACAAAGGTGGCACACATGGAATCAGCATGACTTACATTTCTGCGTCCGCTTCTCGTTCACAACTCATGGAATCCACTTCGCTCTCCAGACCAGATCTTGGGAACCTTGAGGGGAGCTTCCGAATCTCGAGCTCAGACCCAGCCGCACCACTTCGAAAGAACCTGCAGCAGTGGTGCTGCAACCTTGCCCCGAAGCTTCGCAAGTATGGCGTACGCAGCGATGGTCTCGAGAGGTTTGCGGAGGACTGAGGGTTCCGGAACAGACGCCACTGACGACAGATCTGTTCAATGAGCACATGAGGGGCCGATAAAACGCGCATCTGGAATATGGACAGGTGCCCCAATCTGTTTGTACTCCTCAGCTTTATTGTTGCTCAGTGTGCTTCTGCCCGATTTGAAGAGTTGATTTATGCCCGTGAATTGTCCGGCAAGTAAGCCACTGCTAGTTATGGGGACTGAAAACCGCACAGGAAAGAAAGGGTTCAGCGCAATGGCTCCCAAAGGGGTCCAAAATGGCTGTGGGGGCATGTGTTGTTTTTGTTTTTTTGTTGTTTTTTTCCCCCCTTTGTTTTCTTTCCGGGGTGGTTTTAAAGGGAAGCCAGGAGGAAGGCCACCCATGTCTATTGAGGCTTCCCCTGTTTGGACTCGTGCCCACCCCTTCTCCCGGAGGACGCACTTCCCCCGAGCGCTTGGAGTTGCGAGGCAGCTGCGTGGCGAAGGCACCGGGTTTGTGTCAAAGGAGCGAAGGTGTGACGCTCGTTTGGAGAGGTCTTGTTTTCAGCTTTACGGCAACTTCCCCCAGAATTGTGTGTGTGTGGGTGTGTGTGTGTGTGGGGGTGTGTGGGGGTGTTTGTTTTTTTGTTTGTATTTGTGTTTGTTTGTTTGTTTGTTTGTTTGTTTGCTTGCTTGCTTGCTTGTTTGTTTGTTGTTTGCTTGCTTGCTTGCTTGCTTGTTTGTTTGTTTGCTTGCTTGTTTGTTTGCTTGCTTGCTTGCTTGCTTGCTTGCTTGCTTGCTTGCTTGCTTTTTGTTTGCTTGCTTGCTTGCTTGTTTTTTTTTTTGTGTGTTTGTATTTTTTAGTTTTGTGTTTTTGATATGTTGTTTTTTGGTTTTGTGCTTTGTTTTTTCGCCTCTATTTGACGCATGTCGTGTATACAATGAGTGTTATTCGTGTTTGCATGCTTCTCCGTCAATGTTTGGTTGGATTGGCGGTCTCGAGCAGTTTTCAGGCCACTTTCTTCGAGTGGAAAGGGACCCCCTTTTAAAGTGGACAAAGTAGAGCGAGGTGAATCAACAACTTTGATATTACAGAAAGGGTAACTTACGTTCCAAATGTGGCAACTGGTTTCCCCCGAGTTTTCCTTTGAAACTCCGCAGCGAGCCGGACAAAGAAGAGGCGTCCCTTGTGGACTCGCTTTTTAAGGATGCCATACCTCTTTGAGGCACCTTGTTTTTGGTTCTCTTGGAGCGGCCAACCCATGTGTTTTGTGTTTGGAGACATGCCCCACTGGGCCGCGCCCATTCCCGTGTCTTCTTTCTTTTTTTTGCCAGGTTCTTGGGTTGGCGAAACAAATGGCACGTGTACCTGTTCAAAGGGGATGCCATCCTTAGGCCACGTGAGATTCTAAGACTTAGAATCCCATGGGCCGGCCTTGGGTTCCCATGGGCAAAAGGGGACACAGTTCACGCGGATGCTCCGCGTCTTTGGGAGACGTCTACCGAAGAGTCCCGGGTCCCGGGCCTTGCAGGCAGTCTCCCCGGAGAGGCCCTGGCCTTTGGCGCCGCTCGGAAGGGAACGTGGGTGAGCGCTTTTTTGGGGTTGCCGGGTGGCCCTTTTCCAGCCAGGTTTGAACTTCTGGTTCTCGTAGAGGGTAGATGGGAAACCACCCGTTGACCTGCGTCAATGAAAGGCTACTATGGAGTTTTCACGTTGAGGAGCTCCTTCACCAGGGGTTTTAAACAGCAGGGAATGAGAAATGGAATCCCCTCATAATTATAAACCATCCTGCGGGTGGTTTCCTGTATTCAAGCATCCCCAAAACCGGTTCATTCCCACATTTTCTACTGAGCACCAGGTGCTTCAGGAAAGCAGGGAAGTTTTAATACTGGAAGTTAGAGGACAGGTTGGCGCACCCTATCGGTCATCGAGTGGTGGTGTTTTGGGTTTTGGGCCTTCCAAGGTGCCTGGTGGGGCAGCCAAACTGGCTGACATCGCCAAGGTGATGGGGTGCATGGGGTGGGGGAGTCGGGAGAAGTGAGCGGCCGTTTATACCAAATGTTTCTCGATGTCCCACCCTGTAGAGTTTGTTGACCGCGGCAGATTTGGGTGCGTGGCGATGATGGCGACCAAGGTGTCCGCGCAAGGAATGCGCTTGCTGGAGTTGGAAGTCTCAGGTTTGCCGCAGAGCAGGGGTTCTCGTTTTCATCTATATAGAGGGACGCTGCAAAACCAGCCAAGGGCGGTCCATCAGTTTCATTGAACGACCTTTCTGGCGGGTTTACACTTGAGTGTACTCATCAATTGGCATGTTTGGGGCAAATCAACACTTTGGCGGTTTTGTGCTTCCCGGTTTTCATGTGATGGGTTCAGCTACCCTTCCCACAAGCAAAGCACTTGTGGAAAGGACCGCTTCGGTGCCATGAAGGCGACAACTTTGAGACATCTTTGCAGGTGCCTTTGCTGATGAAGGAGTCGCCCGTGCGAGTGCGGGAGATTTGGCTGGAGAGGCGGCTGCTCTTGTGGCTGTTTGAAAAAAATGAGTCCGACACCTGTTGGGTTCATCGCAAAGGCAAACCACAATGATCACCAACATGACGGAGCGGCCCAAGTTTCGACAAGCCAAATGTGCCGTTTGTCGAAGGGTTCACTGACAAGTCACTTGACAAGTCCAATGGCTAGTTCGCCCAAAACGACCTGGTGGAAGGGAGCCATCGTTTTCTTTCGCCACCCGAGACTCATTTTATTGCAGCATTCCCTTGAACATGTTAAGGTGGCTGTTCGGATGGTCCTAGCTAGACGGGCAACATTTTTCTGGCCCACTCGAACCTTTTGTTGTTTGTTTCCTTTTGGACACGAGCACTAAACCCACACATTGAAGAGTTTGTTTGGGCACTTACTGTACCATTTTTGTTCCTTTTGCGTTCCTTTTTGGAACGCATGTCTTTGAGGTACACGAACCACTTTTGGAGGTAGACCCCACCTTAATTTTTTGAACAAGCGCGATGGGAGGGTGGCTTGTAGGTACCTCGACAACCCAATGACGGTGGCGGGTGTCAGCGCCCCAGACTGGGTTTTGCAGATGGTGGAGCCCTTTTTGGGTGGTTTTAAAAGGGAAACCAAGAGGTCACCACCCATTCTGTTTGTTTTTATTTCTTTTTTGAGAAGCACCAATTCAACAGCCTTTCCCGCGAGTTTCCTGAACGTGCTTACATTTTGGGGTTCTCCAAGCTACCTTCTGGGTGATCTCCTTTCTGTCAGCTTCCATTGAAGGGAGGGAATGGAGACGGAGCCCACGGTGTTTTTTTTTCTTCGTTTTTTGGAAAATCAAACGAAAGGCAGACGCATTTCTTCAGGTGTAGGCATGATATGGCAACGGGAGCTACTTTAGCCAATGGGAGGCTTTTGAGCACCCAGCCACACAGAAGCACCCAAAGGATGCGCGTGAAGATGACTTGGTCCTTTGGTGGCGTGATCGCACGTCTCACGTGTTTTTTGTGTTGTTTCATCGAGGTTCTCACGGACAGGGACTTCAGATCGCCAGCAGCCTAGCGCGTGAGAGGTTTGGCCGTGAGAGGTTGGATCTGGTGCAAGAGAGAGACATCTTCCGTGTAATGTTGACCCCATATTCATCAACCCCAGTTTCTGAATAGGGGTGGTTTTTCTGGGTTTGGTGGGGAATCGGACCACTTTTGGAGGGGAACGCCCCTCAGACTGGGGTTGATTAATATGGGGTCAACATTACGGCGCTGTTCTGCTTCTTTGGGAAGCACATCGACTGAGGTTCAAGGCCAATGCAGAGGCGCGCGCAGCCAATGCAGAGAGACGCGCTTTTGGGCCGTTGTGCCGACCTCGCTGTTTTTGTTTTTGCAAATGGTTTCCATGCTCTTCCCACAGTGTCAACTGCGTTGGTTTTTCGGCCATGAAGGTGTTTTTTTTCTTCTTTTTCTTTTCAGCTTGATGAGTTATGCTAAAGTACCTTCCCTGAGAGGCTCTGCTGACACTCAACGTTCTAAGGCCTAATCGGTTTCTGCGAGTCTATATAGGTTCCCTCAGCCTCAGGAGAACGGGAGATTTCTAGATCGTGGCGCGTGTCACAACTGCGACAGTGCCTGACCAGTTGGCTCATTCGCGCTCATCCGAACTCGAAGGTTTGGGAGCCATGGCGCTAAGCTGGGCGCTGTTCGCCCTGTCATGCCTCGGGGCATTGGCCAAGTTGCTTGGTTTGCGCTTGGGATGGTTATGCCCCCCAGCAGACCTTAGGGCGCAGAATGGTTTGATGGCTCACCTTCCCCTTTAGGCGCCCCTTGTTTTGAGACACTTTTGGAGAATGACGGTTTCCCCAACGACAGAGGGTCAGTGAAAAGCGCTGACATCGACGCCCCGTCCAGTTGACGACAAGGGTGCTTAAATTTGCATTTGGGAGTTCCAACTGCGGATTTTTGGGTTTGCCCCTTCGATT